CGTACGTTTCACCCACCTTATATTTGAAAACCAGGTTGGTTGTTGGGAAATGGGAATTGGGAACAGAGCTTGTTTTTTTTCTCTTGCCTCTTTGGTTACCTCATGAGCTGGGTTGGTGAAGGTCAATTTCGGAAACCTTGATTATCAACCAAAAAAAAAAAAATGAATAATGAGAGATAGGAGTAATGGAAAAGATAATTAACAATAACACTCTCGAGAAGGGCTTTAATTTTAGGTGTTCTTTGTCATAACTAGTCACATTTCTAAATTTAGTGTCTCCTTTACAAATTTTCTAACAATTATCGTAGATATGACAATGACACTAATTGGTAATTAGTTATATTACGAGACGTTTGATATGAGGGATAGGGATAAGAGGGATAAAAAGGGAGAATAAGGATAAAGATTATTAGATAGGGAAAATAATTATATTATCCAATATATAATAGATACAAGTATTAGAAATAAGTTTGACCTTTATAAAAAAAAATTACAAAAAAAGGTTTGGATAAGTGATAAATTATTAAATTACTCTTACAAACTTCTTCCTTCTCTCCTTATGCTTTCAATCTTTATGTTTTCAATTTTATTAAGGGTCAGTTGATCTTTATAAATCCAAAGAGGGATAAAATGTTTCATCCTTATCTTTATCCCCATCCCCTAAACATACATTAAATTTCTTCTATCCCTAACAACTTTTTCCTATCCCTCCCTTTTTATTGCCTACAAAAACACTTTCTTTTATTTTAGGTTGAACCAAGTATTACTCGTTTGGATTCGCGAGAACCCAATTAGTGAAATCAATACTAGCCAACCAAGACACCTCCATTTCATCATTTGAGATTAATTAATCACAAAAAATATCAGTTTTTCAAAACAGTATCCATGCTGTGGATGATTAACAAAATGCTCTTATTCATCCCCTGATGTACTTTAGACTCTTAGAGCATCAACATTCATGGGACTCCCCATAATTTCTCCCTCCTCACCTCATTAGTCCACATCACTTTCCACTAACTTTATCACATACCCATTCCATTTTTACAATTCCATACCTACATTAATTAATCTCCCCATTTACTTTCTCTCTCCTATTTTTAAAGGTCAAGTGTTCAGTTTTTTATTTAAAAAAATGAAAAAGGTGCATGGTCAGTGGGTTTTGGCATTCAAGTGTGCAAATTAGGCCCACTTGAATTTTTGGAGGCTTTCCATCAAATTAACCTTCCCAAAAATATTTAGTAAATGGGAACCCTAATTTCCAATAAATGTGGATGCTTTAGTGGTTTTTTTCTTCAGAAATAGAAAGATTCATATACCAACTGTAGATCAAGTTCAACATTGTCATCAGCCTCACCCAATACTCTAGTAACCCAATAAATTAACATAAGATTCAACTTTTTTTTTTCTATGCTGCAAGGACTCTAGTTTGAGGATTGGTTCTTGGAATGTAGGGTCTCTTACGGGAAAATCAGCAGAAGTGGTAGAAGTGATGAAGAGAAGACGCGTAAACGTCATGTGCCTCCAAGAGATAAGGTGGATAGGAGAAGGCGCTCAAGGCTTGGTTTTGGGGTATAAGGTGTGGTACGTTGGACAGGAAATAAGCCGCATGACCAGGAATGGAGGAGCTAGGAACGGAGTTTGGCGTGATTCTTGATGAGAGGTTGTCGAAAGAGGTAATCAAGGTCTATTGAAGAATGATAGGTTGATAAGGGTGAAGTTGCTATGTGGCAAAGAGATTGTAAATGTTATTATTACTTATGCTCCCCAAGTTGGTTTGGATGCAGAAGAGAAACAACAATTTTGGGAGGATTTAGACGAGGTGGTACAGGGTGTCCACTACACTGAGATATTGTGCATTAGAGGTGATTTAAATGCGCATGTTGGGGCAAGACGAGATGGCTACGAGAGTGTTCATGGAGGCTTTAGGTATGGGTAGAGGGACGCAGGTGGTGAAGCTATTATGGATTTTGCCCAATCATATGATTTAATTTTGGCTAATACTTGGTTTAAGAAGCGAGATTCACACTTGATAACTTTCCGGAGTGGAGCAAATGCAACACAAATAGACTTCCTGCTCACAAGGAGCACAGATAGACAAAGTTGCTTAAACTGCAGCATTGGCTTTTGGTTACGACTATTCGTTTGAAAGAGAAGGCGAAGCAAAAAGGAAGACAAGAGGAGCCAAGGATAAGATGGTGGACTCTAAGGGATGCAAATGCTAAGGTTTTTACAGAAAAGGTAATCAAGGAGGCAAATTGGGATGCAGATGTGGATCCAAACATGACTTGGTTACGAATGAAGAACTATTTCCTGAGAGTGGCCAAAGAGGTCTTAGGGGAATCAAGGGGAAGAACTTCGATGCAGAGAGATACTCCATAGTGGATTGAAGAAGTGAAAGAAGTAATTAAGCAAAAAAGGGAATGCTATCAAGCCTTGGGAAAATGTAGGAGTGACGAAACCTTTACAGCGTATAAGGAGGCTAAGAGTAAGGTAAAGCCAGCTGTTCGACAAGCAAAAGAAAAGGCTTATCAAGAGGTTTATGAAAAGCTGGACTCCAAGGAGGGATAAAAGATCATTTATAAGATGGCAAAGAGAAGACAAGAGGCAAGGAAGGATATTGGCATGGTAAAGTGTGTCAAAGATAAGAACCAAATTGTCCTAGTACAAGAGGAGGACATCAAGGACAGGTGGAAGGGGTACTTTGATGAATTGTTTAATGGAAGTAATGGAGTTGTGACAGGAGATACCTCCGCGAGTGATGGAGAAATCAACATGGGAGTATGTGCGGATGATTAAAAGAGTAGAGGTGGAGATTGCGCTGAAAAAGATGAAGCCTAAGAAGACGGTTGGCCCTGATGGTATACTGATAGAGGTGTGGAGGTGTTTGGGTAAGATTGGTATTGATTGGTAAACAAACCTCTTTAACAAGATATGGAGGGCTACGAGGATCTCGCAAGATTGGAGGGAGAGCACCTTGGTCCCGGTTTATAAAAACAAAGGTGACGCTCAAGATTGTTCGAACTATCGAGGGATCAAGCTTATGAGCCACACTATGAAGTTGTGGGAAAGAGTGATTGAACATAGGTTGAGGGCATACACAAGCATTTCGAATAACCAATTTGGTTTTATTCATGGGAGATCTACTATGGAAGCAATCCATCTGATAAGACAAATGATGGAGTTTTATTGGGTAAAGAAGAAGGATCTTCATATGGTCTTTATTGATTTGGAGAAGGCATATGATAAGGTGCCAAGAGAGGTGCTTTGGTGGGCAATGTTGAAGAAAGGTATCCCACGAAGGTACGTGGACCTGGTTAAGGATATGTATCGGGATGTGTCAACAAATGTGAGGACATGTGGAGGGTTGACCAAAGATTTCCCTATTACAATTAGATTGCATCAAGGGTCTACATTAAGCCCTTTTCTTTTTGTAACAGTTTTAGATGAAGTAATTAGACCAATTCAAATTCAAGATGAGGTTCCATGGTGTATGTTGTTTGCGGATGATATCGTTTTGGTGGATGAAACTAAAGATGGGGTTAATGCCAAGTTGGAGCAATGGAGGCAAAGGTTGGAATTTAGAGGGTTTAAGCTAAGTCGGAGTAAGACTGAATATTTGGTATGTCACTTTGGTACTCAAAGGGGGACAAGTGATGAAGTGGAGAGTTTGGATGGAAAGGAATTGACCATGAGTGAATGTTTTAAGTATCTTGGGTCGATCATCCAGAAAAATGGTGACATTGATCAAGACGTGGCTCACGGGATTAAGTCGGGGTGGCTCAAATGGAGAGTGGCCACGGGAGTGTTATGTGACCGAAACATTCCCTTACATTTGAATGAAAAATTCTATAGGACTGCCATAAGACCAGTGTTGCTCTATGGTACAGAATGTTGGGCTTCTAAGAAGAAGCACATTAAAAGATGGAGGTTACAAAAATGCGCATGTTAAGGTGGATATGCGGGAACACTCTAAGAGATAGAATCAGAAATGAGGTTATTCGCAAGAAAGTAGGTGTGGCACGCATTGCAGACAAATTAAGGGAAAATTGCCTGCGTTGGTTTGGGCATGTAAGACGGAGACCCGAGGGTTCACCGGTTCGAAGAGTGGGACAATGGAGGGGTTAAACGAGGGAGAGGGAGACCAAAAATGACTTGGTTGGAAGGACTTCGGAAGGATATGAATTGAAGTATATGGATTTGCACGAGGATGAAACATTGGATCGTAAAGGATGGAGGAGGAAAAATTTTGTGGATGACTACACGAAATATTCAAATTTTGTTCATGTAGCCGACCCCACTTATGGGATTAAGGCTTTGATTGATTGATTGAAGGCAACCAAAGATATACTTTGTTTCTTTTTTTGGAGAGCAAAGATCTAGAGTATCAAATTTCAACAGTGTAGATATTCAATGTGATTATAAAATTTCCTTATACTAGTATATATTTTGTATAAAGGAAGCCAAATCAGAGCTCCCTCATCCAAGTTTATACGAGTACTACGTATATAAAAAAATAAGTCAATCACAACTTTGACTAAAGCAGCAGGTTCTATTTGATACCAGTTATAACAACACTTTATATGATTGTAGAACCGGTTGCAACAACAAAGAAATGGTTTCTTTTAATCAAATAGGTGAAACAGGAAGAAATTACGGCGTTGTATGACCCTCTAATAGGCCCTTGCCTGGAAGTTCATACATTTGAAAGATTTTTTATTTCTTTTGTTTATCGTTCTTCTACAAACGTTTTCTTCAGAGCAACATGTTTCGGTTGTTTGCCCTTGGTGATTGGAATTTCATAGAGAGAGGCAGAGAGAACCGAACATTGCAGCTGGTGCAAAATTGTCATCTCCAAATAGATATAAAGGGATGATGGGAGATCTAACAAAGCAATAATGTGCAGGGGAGGAGTATATCAAGGAAACAAGGTGTTGAGGCCAGAATTTCAGTATCTTACTATCAAGAGAATAGACTAAGCCTTTAAAAAGAATACAAGAGGATTACAATTAGGAAGTTATTTGTGAAGAATATATATTAATTTTCAACAGCAAGACACCGATACCATGCTTAAAATTTCATGGATGGTACTGTATATAGTAAGTTAGTTACAGACCAACAAAATGGTTGAAATACTTACAAAATTCACAAAGATTATTGCTTAGGAAGCTAGGTCTCAAGGTAGATGTGAACTAAAACCTTCACTGATTAAGCTTCTCAAGCAGAACTGCCTTCTCCTCTTCCGGAAGAGCATTAAACATGAATACAGACTTATCACCTATGTCATCCTGCAATTTCAGAAAATTGGAATTACAACTTCAATAAATCAAGTCATCTCAAACTAAAATGTAATCCGTTGAAGACTTCTAATGGTGATACATATAACAAAAGCAAACAAAGATTTCCAAATACAAAGGAAAGATACGTACCTTTACAGGTTGAGTGAACTTCCTTCCAGCAAAAATAATAAAGAGTGCCATCCACACACCCAGGAGACTCAATTTCACTGCATCGTCTAATATGCCAGTCTGTTACAAGTCATATCAAGCACATCAAGGCCCAAATTAACAACAGAAGGCAACTATATTATTATGTCTGTGCTGAGAACCACAAATACATTTATAGCAGAAAAGAAAAAAACAAAAAAAAATAAAAAATAAAAATATATATATATATATATACATATATATATATATATCCACGATATTTTCTAAACACAAGTTTATTCTGTGCAGGTTAGTTTTTGCAGCTCAGAATTACAGCATACGAGTATAAAATTAACAGAGAATTGACATAAATAACAGAATATATCCTCAAACATCTCTCAAGAACGGGACAAATCTATTTCCCAAGGGTCAAATTTACATAGCTTCTATAAGTTGGCAAGTAAATCCTAGGAATTGCTGACAAAAAAAGTTCAAACATAACTTGTAATTTATCTCATTTTGCTATCTGCACAAGTTTATTCCATCCTGGTTATTTACTGTCACTGAGAATTACAACATATAGAAGAAAATTTCAGGGAAATGACATAAACTACTAAAATATTCTCAAACATTTCTCAAGAACAGAACGATTCTATTATGCAATAGTCCCTGTAACAAAGCTTCAATAATATGGCAATTAACAAGTAGATCTTTTATGCAGAAGTAAAAAGAACCAAATGAATATCACCAAGCAGCTAGGAACGACTGACAAAAAAGTTCAGTCACATATTAGTATACAGCTATTATTATGTAAAATTTTCAAAACAAAATCTTGAAATGGAGGAACATTAAGATTTTCTGTCGATAGTAACATTAGCACTCAAGCACGAAATACTAACAAGGAAATATATATCCAGTTCAAGGACCATAACCCACACCAGCAAATACATGTGAAAGCATCATAACATACTTCAGGGGTTCTCCCCTTTTTGGCTGGGAAAGATACCAATTAAATGCAAAATGTAAAGTTCACTTGCAAGAGTAATAGTACCAGGTGTCCAAGAAGACTGATAGGAATTATAAACGTAAGGACAGCAGCTTCCAACTTCCCATAGCAGAGGCCTATGTGAGAAAACAATAGTCAGTCCCAAAGGCCGGCAAAAAAAGATGCAGTTGGTCTCATAAAGAGGAAATACCCAATGGCCTAGAAGCCCTAATGGTAGTGATTTTATGGGCACATACCTTCTTTGAAAACCAGTCCCGTGAGAGAAGCAAAAATAGGACCCACAAGCCAGACAGCAGTTGGGTTATCAACAACATATTGCACCAAGCCTTCACCAGCTGGTTGAGCAAGGGCAGTATAAGTGACTAATGAACCAACGGTACCTAAGGCCCAAAGTGCTTGCAGGGTCCGCTTGATTTCAGTTACATAGATGTGAATCAAAAATAATGACAAACCCAGTCCAGTGGATCCCAACAGATAGAATAGATCTAAATTCTGCTTGAGGATGTCGCTTAACAAAGAGTTACCAGGCAAAAAAGCTGTTGAAGAGGCAAGAACAAAGGAGAGAGCTGCCGTCACAAGTCCAGACCTATATAAAATCACCTTTGGAATAACATACTAGAATTAAAAGGGTTGTCATCAAGCTTCAAGCATGATGAAACATCACCAAAACATAGTGCTAAATTGATAACAAAATCACTCTTGATTAAGAGATGTTATATTGATAACTAATTAGGACCATCATTTTTCTACTGGTTGACTAGCTAGTGGCTGGCTGAGGGGCTGTTGATGCAAAGAAGCTTCACCAAATGGTAACTCTCACCAATCCCAAGTCCCCAAAAAGCACCATCAATACCATGGAGTTCCAATTTTCTAATATTTCTCCGTGTATTTGTCCTAAATCTATTAAAATAAAAAACTAGACACACACCAAAAAAAACAAAAGGCTTTAAACAAAATCAGCATGAAGGACTACTCAAACAAAAACTCTTAACAAAAATAGGTTTCGGGCACTAATCACACACCAAAGCACCCAAATGGAATATAGGAAAACACAAAGGCTCTATTTGTTTTGACGGAAAACATTATCCTAGAAAGAAAATGATTCTCATTTTCATTTTCCATTATTTAGTTACTAAAGGGATGGAAAACAATTTTCCCAAAGGTGGAAAGTAGTTCTCCCAAGATCAGAAAATGTTTTCCTTCTAAAATGATGGTATGCCACATTTTCTACCATACTCCTTACATCCTTTACCTCTCCTCTCATCCATCTTCTCCCTTCCACTCCTATTTTCCCCTTCCTATATGATTTTTCTTGTAAGGAAACAAACAAAGAAAAAAATATACAACTGTGTTTTCCCTTGAAAATTATTTTCATGGAGAATCATTTTCCCAAAAAGCTGTTTTCCATGAAAACAAACGGATCCTAAGACTTTGTTTATTTTGGTGGAAAAACATTTTTCAAGGAAAATGATTTACCTTCATTTTTCCAATTTACTTTGCTTATTTTGGTTAAAGGGTATAAAACAATTTTTCATGGATGTAAAGCTTCTTTTTATAAAAGGAAAACCATTTTCCTTTTGTAAACAAGGTATGTAACATTTTCCTCTTTATTCCTCACTTCTATGTTTTCACTCCTCTATCCTTCCCCTCCCGTTTATTTCCAATTTTCTCTCTCTATTAGCTTCCCATTAATCAAACAAACAAATAAAAAGTCTTTTCACAGTCACTGTTTTCCATTAAAACAAACAGAGCCAAAGTGAATTTATAATTGGAAATTTGGGATACCCCTACTAATCCTATGAACAATTGTTTTTAGTACAAGCTTTAATTGAGCTATGTTTGTGTAATCAATTATACATAGATTATAAAGCAAGGAAATCATAGCATTAATAAACCGAATTAGAGCTTAAAATAATAAATTAGAAAATTAATTAGTTAGAAATCTTATGAATACTGCAAAAAACAGAGGAGAGAGAGAAAACCTCACGAACGTCGGACGTGTCAATAGTCCAGGGACCGTAAACACCTTGAAAGACGTTTTGGGTTTGATCAATTGCTTTGCAGTGAAATTGACGGAAATTTCTAATTCTTCCAATTTCCCCCAATTCAACTTTACCAAAATTAACTATTCTGCTGCTGCTGCTGCTTTCTCCAAACTTCAATTTCAGTTCAGAATTTTGCTGACGACGACGAAGATGATGATGATGCTGTTGCTGAAAAATAGTGCTGACGTAATTCTTCTTCCTGATTCTCGTCATCTTAAACGGTCGACTCATAGTTGCTGCTGCTGCCCCTATTGCTGTTGTTCCCATACTAACTCCCGCTACTGTTGTTACCATCGCAATTCTTTCTCAAGCTTCAATTGGACGAAGACGAGCAAAATAATCAAATAATATATCGTGCTAAAAATTACAGGATAGTTTTGTCTGCTTTTAATTGGAACCACCTCCTCGCTTCTCCCTCTCTCACCCCAAATTATATACCCGTTTTGTTATTTTTAAGTGTCATTCAGTGTTATTTTTGTTAATGCCAAATTTTGATCAGTAATACTAGATAATTATCAAATATTACGTATAAATGTTAAAAGTTGATATCTGATTAAGAAATATTCAGCAATTATAATTTATAATAAGAATCCACATGATTATTATGTGTAATATTAGCCTATTTTCTTTGGTATAAAGCACAAACTTTGGTCAAACTTGCACCTATATAAAAAAAAACTTTAGTTAAATGGGTGCTTGTAAATAGTGTTAAAAATCAAACAAAAATACAAAAAAAAAGGGGAAGGAGCTACTTGTGTTTAATAACAACTAGATGAAACCCGTGTGATGCACGGTTTGCTTGTATTTTTTTACAACTTATATTTTTTTTCGTATGTTTGTGACAAAATTTGTTACTATATTTATTCGTTGTACGTAGTATATCATATTATCATTTAATATTTTTATTTTACTTATTTTAAATAAATAGTAAATTTTCTCTCGTTATATATTTAGATGAAATTCCTAATATTTTTTAATTTAAACTTTAAAATAATATTTTATATTTATTAATTTAAACTTTAAAATTTCATTCGCCAATTTTATTTTGTTAACATAGAACTTAATCTATAAGACGAATAAATGATAAATGATGAGCATTTTTTTTTTGTTTGCTAGAAAAAGAGAAAGGATATATTTTTAATTTCAATGGATTTTTCTTATTTTTTGTATTTAATTTAAAACTATTTTTTTTAAAGAAAACTAATATTTTTTTTAATAAACATGTTTTCATTTTTTTTATTAGTATATTTTTATAAATTATTTTATTATAATCACTTGACACATTTTCATTATTTTTTTTATCTAATCCAATTTTTTTTTAAATATCAACATTGAGCCCAAAAAATGAAATTCACGTTCAATTGATATTTAAAAAAAAATTAAAATAGCAATCCTACGTGGCAAAATTCTATACGTAACGCTCTAATAATACTAATCCTACATAGCGCTCTAATAATTTTAAAAAAATCAAAATTCTGGGTGGCTCTCTAAAACCTTGGAAAAAACTCCCCTTTATATAATATAACGAGATTTTATTTTTTTATTAGTATATATTTATAAAATATTTTATTATAATCACTTGTCATATTTTCATTATTTTTTTTATCTAATCCAATTTTTTTTTAATATCAATTGAACGTAAATTTCATTTTTTTAAAATTTAATAGTATTTTTTTATATATACGAACTAAAATAAATTGTTTCCTTTCTCTTAGATAAAATTTCCAATTTAAAAAGATAGTATTTATTTTTATAATATATTTAAATTTTTAATTTTAATCTTACATGGCGCTTTAAAATAACAATCCTACGTGGAAAAATCCTATACGTAACGCTCTAAAAATACTAATCCTACATGGCGCTCTAATAATTTAAAAAAAAAAATCAAAATTCTGGGTGGCTCTCTAAAATCTTGGGAAAAAACTCCCCTTTATATAACTTAACGTGATTATATTTTTTTTATTAGTATATTTTTATAAAATATTTTATTATAATCACTTGTCATATTTTCATTATTTTTTTCATCTAATCCAATTTTTTTTTAAATATCAATGGTGAATTTCATTTTTTTAAATTTAATATTATTTTTTTTATATATACGAATTAAAATAAATTGTTTCTTTTCTCTTAGATAAAATTTCCAATTTAAAAATATAGTATTTTATTTTTATAATATGTTTAAATTTTTAATTTTAATCTTACGTGACACTTTAAAATAACAATCCTACGTGACATAATCCTATAAGTAACGCTCTAAAAATATTAATCTTACATGGTGCTCTAATAATTTTTTAAAATTAAAAATCCTAGGTGGCTTTCTAAAATCTTTGGAAAAAACTCCCCTTTATATATATACTAGTTTTGTGTCCAAGCAATGCCCAGATGGTTGATAAAATTTTAAGATAATATTTTTACTTGAATGTTAAATCGGTCAAAGAATTCGTTCTGATAATATAGGATATCTAGACATACGATATCATATGGCTTATCACTAATATATAAAGCCGGTCTCGCAGCTAGACCACAAGACAGCGACACTTGGCATTCCAATTTTTCGCCAAGCGTCGCGCCACATAGGAGATAAATAGGTATTATTGTGACACATATGATGCTAAGTAAGCGATTTTGGATGGATTTTTAAAGATAAAATCGTTGTATAAAGTTTTATTATTGATAGAATTCTAATATTTCATATATACAAAATTAATTATAACTTTTAATAAATATCTTATAACTCAATTCTATTTCCATCATCAAATTTTTTTTTAAAATTTCTTTAAAATAAGATTCATTTATTATATATTTAATTACAAACTTTTATACGTAGATGGCCAAGCCATGTCACCAACTATTACAAGAGTTATTTCGTTAGTGCTATAGGGGTTACTTGGTCAGTGTTATAGTGGTTACTCAATCAGTGATATAGATAAGGGTTACTGAGTCAGCGTTAGAGGTTACTCAGTTAGTATTACAGGGGTTACTCGGTCAGTTTTATAGGGGTTACTTTGTCCGGCTAGATGTTGTGGCTAGCCGCATAAAAATGCATTGTTTAATCAGTAAAATTAATTTTATTTTGGTAAAAATACTTTCAGTTTAATAAAAATAATTTAAGTTCAATATAAATAATTTCAATTCAATAATAACATAGATATCTATTTACAAACAAGAGTACAAAAATTACACTATTTTATAAATATAAGCCATATGATATCATGTCTAAATATCTTACATTATCAAAAGGGATTGCAGAACCGTACTTAACATTCAAGCAGAAAAGTTTATGCTGAAATTTTATCAATAATCTAGGCATCGCCTGGGACAATACTAGTATTTATATAATAGTGTACTTTTTTTAGTTTTGTTTGTAAATAGATATACATGTTATTATTGACTTGAAATTATTTTTATTGAACTTAAATTATTTTTACCAAACTGAAATTATATTTGCTGATTAAAATTTATTTTTACTGATTCTCTAATATTTTTTTAAATAAATTAAATAACAATACATTTTGTATGCGGCTAGCCACACCATCTAGCTGGACAAAGTAACCCCTACAAAACTGACCGAGTAGTCCCTGTGATACTAACTAAGTAACCTCTAACAATGACTAAGTAACCCCTATCTATAACATTGATTGAGTAACCACTATAACACTGACTAAGTAACCCATATAGCACTAACGAAGTAACTCCTGTAATAGTTGGTGACGCGATTTGGCTAGCTACGTATAAAAGTTTGTGATTATATATATTATAAATGGATCTTATTTTAAAGAACTTTTTAAAACGAATTTGATGATGGAAATAGTTTTGAGTTATAGGATATTTATTAAAAGTTATGATTAATTTTGTATATATGAAGTATTAGAATTCAATAGACTAAAATTGGAAATGCTAAAGAGTTTAACATTTTAACGTAATAGTGCAAGACTAAAATTTGGGAAAGAGTTAGCTTAATAAGGCATGCATGATTAGTTTGGAGCTAGCATGCTGATGATTAGTTCGTTGTTTGGATTGTAGAAAAAAAAAATGGTGGCACAATATAAAATAATGTTGGAGGTGTAGGTTCAGCAATATAATCCAAGAAAAATAACAAAAACAGATATATATTAGGGCAACTCATATATCGGGACCAGGCCTCTTGTTATAATTGGAGGAGCTACTACAATAATGAGAGGAGCTACTGCTGCTGGTGGTAGAAAAACTCTCGAAATCCCACTCTTCATACCGAGGTGGTGGCACGGCCTGATTCACCGCTGAAGTCATGGTGGAAGATAAAGGTGAAGACTGAGACGCCGATGTAGAATAATAATAGTTATTGCCACTAGTAGTAGTATCATTAGTATTGGCACTAGTCTGTGGATAGAGGTGTGTCATGAAATAGGGGAAGTTTACGTCGTTACTAGAAAGAAGTTGTGCATATTGCACAAGATGTGGGTATATATTGGTATTACTAGTAGTATCTTGATGATGCTGATGCGACAAAATCGAAGAAGACATTCCACTAGGAGCTTGACCATGAGAATAAGTTGTAGTAGCAGCGGCAGTAGCAGTAGTCGACGATGTCTGATTCTGGTTATTATTAGCCATGTAGTAGTGAGGATGACCATAAATAACTCTTTCAGGGAAGTTGAGCTTGGCTTTGGTGCCTTTGAACTTCAAGGCTGCTTCGTCATATGCGATGGCAGCTGCCTCAGCAGTCTCAAACGTTCCCAGCCAAACTCTTGCTGCTTTCTTTGGGTCTCTGATCTCTGCTGCCCATTTTCCCCACGGCCTTTGTCTCACTCCTCTGTAATGTCTTTTTTTACCACTTCCCTCACCTGCTTTTCAAGTATGGTCGTTAGTTATTTTGTTATAACTACGTTACATACAAGCGATACAGCTATACAAGTCTTCCATTTACTTATAGAGAACAAGGTAATGGATTTAAATAACCACGTAAAACCACAAATGAGACAAATAAAGAGGTTTAGAGTGTGCATATATATATATATACATCTCAATTGTAGGATATTATTATAATTTGAGACGTTCTATATACATGACATAAAAACGGAATCGACAGAAAAAAGTACGAAAACCTACATTAGGAGGTAGGTGCGTGGAAAATGCCCTTTTATGGTTAGGCCAAGGAATACGTGGGGATGACAGCTGACAATTATGAATATACATATTGATCGGACTTCATATTCACGTTTAGATGCATGCATGTATTTGCAACATGCAGAGAAAATGCTAAATACTATTAGCAGCATATGATCATGTTAAGAATTTTAAGTTTGAAATTTTCTATTTTGACAATAAATGTTATTACAAATTTACAATGCACCCTTCATTTTAACTAAGTGCATTATGCAGAGTTTTACTGTTTTAGGCAAATGAACTACGTAGTAACTAAAGTTAATATTCTAGTGTGCAAGTGAGTGCATACTAACTAAACTTTAGACATCCACTAAGACAGTGTACTTTTCTTCTGGATTTCACTTATCTTATCTAATTAGTCTTGAACTTATCTTAATAGAGCCTATTAGCCCTTGTATTTTTTTTTTTAATAAGTTTAGATAAGATAAGATCTTATTTTTTTTATGTTATCTAAACTTATCAAACGTAAAATAAGTAAAAATAAGGTGAGAAAAATCGAGTTTAAGAGCGTGATAGACTAAAAAAAATTAAATTTTACTACTCCCTACGTTTTTTTTATTTGCATCACTTTCCATTTATGAATGTTTTTTTTTAAATGCATCACTTCTATATTTGGTAACTTTATACTGTATTTTATCATTTCGCTCTCTTACTTTAAACCCCACTCAAATTATTTTATCATTTCTCAGCTCTCTCTTCCATGGTCTCCACTTAAAAAATAAAAATATATATCCTCTCTCACATACTTTCTCTTTCATGATTCCCATCTTACTTTTACTATAATAATTTATTCACCCATTTATAATATTATATTACTCTCCTAAAACTTTGTGCATTTCCAAGTGATGCAAATAAAAATAAATAAAAAAAAAACGGAGAGTATAAAATAATGAGTATATAATCCTTAAGAACAATGGAAGCACATACTGTTTACAAGGCATCTACTAATTAAACATCTGGTTGATCAAACTTGTACCTAACTTTTTGAAGTAGAGCTTTCTTGAGCCAAACAAATTGGAAAAAAAAAAAAAAAAAATTAAAGTTTCCAAATTGATACACGTGGTTTTCTAGATATTTCAAACACGAAAGTGATGTTGATATTGTATATGTCCAATATAGTGACGAAAACATCGATTAAAATTAGACGAATGTGGTGATATTTGATGTAGACTTGTTCAAACAAACCAAAGTACTCATAACAATAATAATAAGTAATCATGTCGTCTTATCTTACTTAAATATGTCAGTTAGGCAGACTAACAACAAAATCATATTCTTAATATATATTTATATTTATATTAACGTCGATAATTTTATTACATTTTTTAACAAATTATTTAAGGAAAAACAAAAAAGGGAAAAAGCTAAGAAAGAGAATCCCTTACGCATGTACTACTTACAAGGCAGGAAAGCTCCAAAGAAAGATCATTCACGGCTTCACGCCAAACCAGCCAAGTGTGAACTTAAATAGTTCTTTCACTTTTTTTTTTTACTTATTATTTTCTTATCAATTTTGATCTTTTCATCTTCCTTTAATAACTTATTTACCTTATCTTTTTCTTTCTCCATTTTTTCTAACCATTCTTGTAACTTTATTTTACACATACTAAGGCAAAATGATGGGAACATACATAATGAATTAGAATAGAGCAATTGTGCAAAGTTGAAAAAAAAAAGGCGGCGAGTGCGGTTTTGTGTGATTGAGGAAGAGGGCAAAACGAGCAAAAAGTTTTCCCACAAAAGAAAAAGGTATAAGTTGAAAGAATAATAAAGATCAATTCTTTCGTAAAAGGAAAAGATGAAGGAACCTAAAAGGACGAATAGAATAATAATTTGAGTGTTGGATACAGTAATTATTTGAATTAACTATATGGTATCCATATTCTGTAAGCGGATTAGGGACAATAAATTGAGATCTGAACCACACATTCTAATTATATATATTAGACAGATTCTAATTCTATAAGAAGAGCAATTATATTAGCTAATATAAGCTAGTGCACAAATCTAATTACCACCAAGTAAGCTTAATAATTAGTGTTAAAAAACAAAAAATGGAAAACCAGTTGGGATCTAGGAGCAAATATAGTAGATGATGCTAAAACAAGCACGAGAAAAGAGTATAATAAATACACGTACCAGCTGTAGTTGGTTGATCTTGTGAGGGCTGGTGTTGTGAAGCATCATGAGCTGGTACGGAGGAGGAATGATGAGGTTGGCTGAAGGAGGAATGATCGGAATCGGAGGCGGAGGCCATGACTTGAGCAAGGGCTGAAACCATAGCCTTCATGTCTTTCTGATCTCTCCAATCCATTACATGAGGAGGATGAGATGCTGCTGCTGCTGCAGGAGGAGGAGGAGGAGGATAGTAGTTATGTTGCGCATCAACTTGACTAGAGGATGTAGATGGCCTTTTTCCGGAAGCTTCATCTTCTTGTTTCTGTTGTTTCTCTTCTTGTTGGGGAAGCGGCCTTTTCCCATTATGCCCGCTTTCTGGATCCACTGTAACTCTCTAGCTCGTTCTGTACTATCGCCGTCGTAGTACCTCTCTCTTAGCTTGATCTGATAAGTAAGTTCGATCCAATTAAGTCCAAGTAGGAGATGCAACTTGATATATAATCACATGCAACTTGCAACTTGGGTTGTGGGGCTTATATCTTCTAAACAAGCTAGCTAGCTAGTATGTTGATCAACATCTTAATTAGATATCCAATATGATATGAGAAACCAAAAGCAAAAAAAAAAAAAAAAAAATAGGGTTTACTCTTTCACCACCTTTTTTTTTTGCCTCTTATAGTATTATGCGACAATTCAAGGGTTTTCTCATTTTTCTATATATATAATCTAACTCCTAAACTGTGAGCCGCTTCTTCTACATCACCTTTTTGGTCTTTCTAATTTTCTTAATAAGCATGCTACTATATCTTAGTCAAAGTTCCCCTCAAAAAAAAAAAAAAAAAACAAAACAAAACAAAAATCTTAGTCAAAGTCTAAGACATATTTTATCATCTACTCTGTATTATATACTCCCTCTATTTCACAACAATAGCAACACTTTCTTATTTAGACCCTGTCCACTTCATCTTATTTTAGTTAAACTGAAATTATTTTTACTGATTCTCTATTATATTTCTTCTTTAGAGTTACTGATTTTTACTGAACTAATTTTTTTTTATAGAACTGAACTTATTTTTACTGAATTGAAATTATTTTTACAGAACATTATTTTTATAAGGTGAACTGAACAGGAGCTAGTAAGATCTTATTATTACATAATTTGTAGTATATTATTGTATCTCTCCCATTAACCCCATCTCACAAATATTTTATTATTGTATTTCTCTCATTTACTAACAATTAAATATATCCCCTGACCACCAACTATACTTCATTTTTTAAAAGCCCTATTTTGGTTCCACCTTATAAGTTTCTTAAAATTATGTGTAATTAATTGAAATATTTTTACTGAATTGAAATTATTTTTACAGAACATTATTTTTATAAGGTGAACTGAACAGGAGCTAGTAAGATCTTATTATTACATAATTTGTAGTATATTATTGTATCTCTCCCATTAACCCCATCTCACAAATATTTTATTATTGTATTTCTCTCATTTACTAACAATTAAATATATCCCCTGACCACCAACTATACTTCATTTTTTAAAAGCCCTATTTTGGTTCCACCTTATAAGTTTCTTAAAATTATGTGTAATTAATAATGTCTAGTATTGTGAACTTGGGATTATTACCAAAATGGAGGAAGTACCTTTTTTTTATTGTTCAACTTCTATGATTCATTGTGTTATCCGGATTCATTCAAAAAATCACGTACAATCTTACTACAATACTACCTTTAGTAGTTCTAATGTTTCAAAATCTTTTACCTTTACAGATTTCATTCAAGAATCCGTTTACAATTAGGGCCCAATCACAATTAGTTATTTTATCGTTCCCTAATTTTTCCACTCTCAATCTAAATGATTTTATATTTGAAGAACAATGTCCATGTAATTAACCTCAATCTTCAAATCTAGCGTAAAAATTTAGGGTTTACTTAGACCATCTCCAATGGTAAGACTCAACTTTCGGTATTAAAATACAAAATGAGTTGTTATTTACACCCAATGGTGATACCCAACTCACTTCTCAATTTAGCAACTCATGTGATACATAATTTCCCAATGGTGAGACTCTCTTTAAGTGTACTAATGTCATTGTCCAATTTGGCCCCCTACATCCAACAAAATAAACAATTTTAAAGTTTTTCAAAAACATTAAAATGTTAAATAAATAAATAAACCAATATAAAATTGATAAGGGCCCACTTCTTTTGTTAATTGAGACTCAAAATTGAGTATCTAAAGTTAACAACTTTCTTTTTGAGTACTTAAGTTTAGATACCAACTTTCTTTACAAAAAATACTCTCTCTCCTAAAAAATCTCCAAAGAGTCTCATCATTGGAGATGGTCTTATGCCAAAAGTACCTAAATGTGCTCAAACCTATCTTTTTAATTTGTTCATATATATTGTCATTGTTAATTACAATAAAATTACATTGTTTAAGTGTAATGAGTGACCATTTGATGGGATTAGCTATATACAAATTAAAGTATAATTGAGCTGTTAGAGTTTAGTTTAAAATTGTTTCTTTAAATTGATAAAATTTTATGCAAGATCGACAAAGATGCATGTCGATTTATCAATTAAAATGTGGTAAATTATAAAAAAAAACCTCACATTTGCTACATATTGATAGACCTTTTATAATTGAAAAGTTGCAAAACACGAAAATGCATGTAAAATTGCAAATAAAGGCACAAAAAATGTTCAATATGCAACGATCATACATAGTTTTATTGAAATGAAGTTTTATTTGATTCAACCTGCTATGCATTTGTTAGATTTAAATATCCTATGTAAATGTCGTATATATGACTTTTTATTAATGAATTAACTTTACTATACAAAAAAAAAAAAAAATGCATATTCTATCATCAACACCTCAAATTAGGTTAGAGAAAATGTTTGAGATAAAATGTCTACTCCGTTAAATTATCAAAGAGCAGAATTCTAAAAGTAATGTTTTTTTTTAGTTCATTAAACACATTTGGAATTAAAAGTGAGAACTTAACCATCAATCAATCATGAGAAGAGTTTCATGCATATTAACATATAGATAAGATTTTCATGCTAAATTTTCATCCTCAAAAGTATTTTTCAAATATCATGCAATTACATTTCATATCATGCTTACGATGTCATTAGTTTTTCTCACTATACTAGACTCAAAATTACAAATAGTCATTCTGATGCTCAAGAGTCGAGACACTAGTTAAAAATAAAAGACGCAAGTTACAAACTAAAGTAATGGCCTTATTTATTTCATAAACTTATAATTATAGAGTTAATAAGCTATCGTTAGTCTAATTCAAGTCGAAAAATTTAACAACCTCATATACTATTTGTTCTTCCCTTTTTTCAATTATGAATATTCAAATGTTTTTTCTCATTTGAAATCTTTTCATATATTTTTAATAGAATTCGATTTATTTTACTTTATTTATTTGGGAAATGTGCCCATATTTATTACACTTTTCTCTTCCATACAATTTTTTAATCCATAAATAATTTTTCACTAATTAAATTTTCTATGCATTATTCCAATATTTAATCACCATTCTCTATTCCCAATTCCTACATTAGTTACATTGTCCATTTTTTCTATAAATTCAGATAATTATAAATCAAGTAAATAAAACACACTCTAAATATCACAATTTTCTTAAACCGCTATTTTTTTTTTAAGTTTCACCTTTTCATTTTGCAAACATCCTATTTTCAATTATATTTAATTTTCTTTTAGCTCTTATAGTTACATTTTAAATTATATTTTTCTCCTCGTGGGTCCATACTCCTAACGTATTTTATTATTTCTCACATCCTAATGTTTTAATTTTTCAATAAATCATACAGCCGACAATATATTTTTGTTAAAACTTCACGCACAGAAGTAGGGAAGGGATGAAGGGAGGTTTGGCAAGAATGAGTATAAAATGTGTACACGCCATGGGTGATGGAGTGGGTATGAATTTTAGAGTAGACCCGTCCCATATCCGCCTCATATTTCCTTTAGAATAGATTAGAATTTATGAAACTTAAAACCCCCTAAGCAGTACGAGTCCAAGTGGGTAGTGACAAACTTAGTAGTGATAATGTGATATAATTATCATTAATGTGATATAATACAGCATCATGGCAGTGGGTTTGTGACGGTTTTGGGACGAGTATGGGTGGGTATGGATATCCAAATGGGTGGTGGACAGGGATGGATCTTATCTTATATTTGACGGGGCAGGTATGGATGTGGATATTATACCCGCCACAGGTGGTGGGGCGAGAATGGGCATAAGATTTTTAGGCGGATATGAGTATGGCGGTATCAACCTCCACATCCGATCCGCTCTATTGTCATCCCTACACAGAAGTAAGAGCCAAATATCTTCCTACTCATCCTATAAATTACTCGTACGATAAAAGTGTTACCTTTATGTTGTGCATATTATTAAAGTAGTTCCACCCGTCGTTTATAAAAATAAGATTGATGAAAATGAAAGTCCTAAACGTACTTATGATTAGCATTTAGAAAATGGGGCCTCCCACTAAATTCTCGCCGGGAGATTAGTACATACTTGCATCACTAAAGCATGCATGGAGTGTCAAATTGCCACAAACGACAAAAACTATTAAATAAAAATACAAAAAGTGAATCGAGACCGCATTATTATTATTAATCCATCAAACTGTCATTATCCTTGATGAAAGAATGACCCAATACATTAGAATTAGACATAAAGAAAAGCGACAATATTACTCGTATAAACACAAGTCTCACATTTAGCACTTCTTCCCATCACAAATTCATAATTCACATGTGTACTAGACTACCACAGTACGATCAATAATACCCTATCAATAATACGTATTAATGTAAGCCCCGACAATTCAAAATTAAGGACAATTTAATTGATTAAAATCTTAGAATGGTATCCAAAGACTCACAATTTAACTTACATAATGTCCAATGAACTAACCACTTGCAAGTTGCAACACACTCCACCACAACCATACACCAGTCCATCTCATCCCCCGCCCTGCCCTGGCCCCCTCCCCCGCTCTCCTACAATGAACTAGACCCAGCTTGCCCATCCCATGATATTGCTGGCAATGCCATTATCTACCAGCTTTTTAAAACAATCAAAGGGGCAGTCAAGATTTACCGACACCCACATCTCCCTACTGAATTAGATTCTACCACTCTTCCATATTTTATCACCCCAAGTTTAAAACAGCAATGATGAACCGATTTTTGCTCATCTTAATCATCACAACCGCCAATAAATCCAAATATAGCCCCATACTAGTCCTCAAATTCCCAAAACACCCCCTATTTGTCTTCATGACTCAGAAAACAGCCCTGCAATGAACAAGCATTTAGCTGTCATAAACCAGGCACAGTTCAAAAGAATGCATCACAGCAGTCTTTTCAAATGTGATAAAAAAAGAGTCCTTCCTACTTCCTAAGCGGTAGACAAGTTCACCCCAATCACCAATATTACTAACACTAAACAAATCTGTACACAAGCCTATATATAAACTATCAGCAATTACCAGACCCGCAAATCCCTTTCCTTAACAAATGTCTAATCGTCACCTGATGTATAGTGATAGCATGTATACAAGAAGATAAGGGGGCTCACAGGAAGCAATCTCCGGCCATTACTTCTACACTGTAACCAAAGAAGCAATAAACTTTATATTTCAAAGCTATTGCCATTTGGATTCGAAAATGAAAATATACAGAATACACCTTCCTTGGGCAATGCATCACCATCCTATATAACAAGGACAAGCTATCCCATGATGGTACAGTTTAGACAAGCTATCCCATAGCAAATGACCAAAATAAGTTGTTTGGACTATCCCAATACTTCCCACATGCAACAATGAGGCTCTTTTTAGACAAATACACTTTTGATGAGAAAACGGTTATCCAAAGCTCCACCTACTGTACTGAATCTAATCCCAGAAAATACACCCTTCTCACCACCAGCATTTACAGAAATGCATTGCTACATTACTTTGGGTAAAGAATGTCGTAGTGGCCTGGACGATAAAGCAAGGTTATGTAAGGATTGATCTCCAAGCCGCTGCCACCACTCGACAAGGCAGAGGGTACGAAATCATGGTGATTTACACTAACACCACCAGTATCACAAGAGCTACGATCCAGGTAAACAACGCGAACTGGCACACCTAATGCATCTGATAGAGCAATGATGTGAACATGATCACTTTCTTCACCCATAGGCTCCACTGATGATTTGCAAAACTACACATAACAAACAATTTATAAAATACTAAGCAAGTTAAGAGTCCAGAAAACATTTTCAGATGTTACAGAAATTCGCCTGGCAAAAGACAACTAGTTTCGTACATAATTACTTTTGTTAGCATGAACTTTGCATTGATTGATAAAAGTAGGATAGTGAATGAAAGGGAAACAGCTAACTAAGTTTAGGATGTAGCAAACAATGCAACAAAATTTTAAATTATAAAGTTGAACATATAATTCTCAGGCTACCCAAGATAAACCACAGCAGACTAAAGAAAAGAAAAGGCAATAATACTACCATCCATAAAATTAAAGCATATGGGAAAAAAAAAAAAGAAAAAAAGAAAAAAAAAAAAAAAGAAAGAAAAAAAAGGAAAAAGACAAAAAAAATTAAATACTGATCTAAACCAAACCAACATGCCATTCTTCTATGCAACCAGGAAACAATTTATTAATTCCAAGACAATACCAAGGTATTTTATTATGAATCAACAAGAGGCAATAATTGAGGATAAGAATAAAGATGTCACCTACTCAAATCATTATAAATAGAATGAGAATTCCAGTTTTTACATTGTAGCTGCTTCATTTTTAGTGTAAATGTCCAAATATCTCTTATTCAGGTATATAACTGTTTCTTTTTCAGAAAATGGATCTCAAAGACAGGGGAAGTTATGAACAAGGTATGCCACTGTCCAAAAGGCAACATCAATTGGGAAAGGGAGGGGGGATGCGAAAGAGAATAGATTTAGGTACTATCATGGTTGAATTTGATGGAGTGCATATGGGACATTAACAAAGCAGATCGAAATATATGTACAGCCTACAAGATACAAAGAAACCATTTCTACAATCAATCAATATGGTATAAGTAATTGTACATGTCAATTGCATGGTGAATGTCTATAGTTACTCAGTATAAACAAAGCAAAAAGACAAATATTGCATCTAATGAAAACCAGAGGAAGAACATATTATTTGCAATTACTTGCAAGCACATTTTTCATGGGAATGACCCCTCTTTCCACTATCAACATGCTAGTAAATAAGGGGTAATTAATTTGGGTGTGCTTCAACACCACATAGATGCAACCAAATAGGGATGGATAATGGTTACATACATATATAGAGATTATGCAAATGTTCCTATCAAACCCAAATTGGATCCCGCATAAATAGAATTCCAATACCACGATGGGGAACGCTCATTGGTAAGCCATTTGGAAATTCAAAAATTTCCATCTAGGAAATGGCAAGGAAAACATATAAAATTTTTGAACAGCACATGAAGTTTTTACAATTTTTCCAAGTAATAACACCTTGTAAATCTCATGTCCTTATCTCAAAACAATTATTTTTTTTGAATCGCAAGTTCATCAAATTCTTCACTTATATATGTTCACATTTCGGCTTTCACATATGCAGATATGCCCTGAGGTTCAAAATCATACACAAGAAGTTATTTCTCTATCCATATATCCCCTAGTATCCATCTCACTGTAGTTATCCATCCATAAAGTAACACAATCAACCAACCAATAGTAATTTTAGAAGATGCTCAGCAACTCCTACTTTACTAACAAAACCACACCTTACGAATGAACTCCAAAACACATATTAAAGACCAAATTCCAGATGCACTTCCCAAAATACCTTTTTAATACATCCTAAGGCTGGATATCTACAACTTGATAAAGGTGAACAACAAAAGGGGTTATTTTTGAGGACTTGTCAAGCTGTCACAGATCCCACTCTCAGAAAAATGACTTGATTTGCTCTCCCTTTGCATCAGGAAAGCCTTATTTGTCTTATATCAGGAAAGTGACTACTCCGAATTCCTAGCTAATCATTTCTAAGTAATTCAACTAACTCTCCTTCCCTTACTATCCAACAAAATAAAATAACAAAAAAGGACCTAAATCCACCATCTTGGCTATCTAGCTCCCAAAGATATTAGTACTTTCTAAAGTCAAATAGGGGGTAACTCATGAGCTTAGCACACTAGAAAATCAACCTTCTATAGTTAATCTTGAGGCTTGAACAAGCAAACCACATTAATCAAGTAAAACTAAAGAATTATGATTTATGAATAGTAATACACTACCCACAAATAACCTTCATGCTAGGTATAGACACGCATATTAAAAAACTTAGTAGGGTGAAGTGAGGATGTGAGAGAAAGAAAGGTAGTAGAGGGGACCACATCACATGGATTGAGCGTAAATTTTTCCATTCCAACTAACACAAAGATTTTTTCCACTACACTCTCTTCTTACTACTCATAAAGGATCCCCAGTTAAACAAGCTATCTGACAGAAATGCTGCCAACAAATAAATTTTCTGCTGCAACTTTAAAATAGTTTTTTTTTTTTTATAAATAAATAAAAAAAAAAACAAAAAACAAAAAAAACACCCTAAATGTAAGTGTCTAACTTTCAATTTAAAACCAAAGACAAACCTGATCCACAGTTGCATTATTCAATCCCAGTATGAAGGGTTCAAAGAACTCCGCACGCTTCCGTATCTCCCCAGATGTTATGAATCTAAAGAACATTACAACTAACCAACACATATGTCAATATACAAAGCAAGAAAGGAAAGTCAATAATACATGTTTAACATGTAATATAACCCACCATAATCAGATATTGATTGATCCCGACTCCTCTCAACAAGCTCGTCATGACTGATAGAACAAAAGAAACAAAATGAGATCAGGCTAGCATAAGTTTATGTGAGAAGACATCTAACATATCAACATGAGGAAATAAGAAGCCAACAAAGAGGACCTTATTGAAGCATCGGTCCCTTGAATAACATTTTCCAACTGCTCAAGAAATAACTGTAGACATCCGCCACAAAAAATTATATAAATTAGAGCAAGAAAGTAAATTTCTACACTTGTGACAGAGAATAAAAGACACAAAAAAGCTTATTTTTACTTAGTTGAGGCGAACAGTATAGTGGTTGGACACGAACGTAAGAAAATGAGCAATAAGATCATGGGACTAATATCAACCGCAGCATGTAAGGTATATAATGAAATTCCTTTTGATGGTATATAGAAATGGGAAAGTGTATTCACCCCAAAAAAATCTTCAAACGTAAAGTCCGCATAGCCAAGACTCTGGAGTGTCTTCCGGCACTCTTCAACATTAGCCTTGACGCGATCTACCTCAGCCTTATCTTGAGTTTCTAAAATATGCTCCTAAAATCAAAACAAAATAAGAAGACAAGAAACTAAAATGGGTAACAAAAAGAATACACTACTAATCACATATCCACGGAAAATATAGGCTCCTACCAAGTATGAGAACATGAAACTTCTGAAAAAGCAATTCCCATCTCCTCGAGTTCGCCTAATTGCAGAGTACTTTTCATCAAGAATCTGCTCAGCAGATAATGAGAGTCATTTATAATCATCATTTTTTATATATAGTTATTACGCACTCAAAATCAAACACAAAATATCAAAAAAGAAAGCGAATATAAACCTTGATCTTTTCAAGCAGAATAGAACTTCCTGATTGATATTCAGCAGCTAAAGCAGAAAGAGGTTCCTACATAAAACAAATGCATCCAATCACAAAAATATGGTTCAATCAAATACAGAATAATCTAAAATTTAGGTTACAAGTTCAATCAAAAGAGGGCCTGCTATAACAATGATCATTCAAGATTCAATTAGTTAATGACCTAATTTTGTCGTAAACATGAAATTGGGTTAAGAATTGTTGCAAACTTGCAATCAATCAAATCTTAGGGTTTTGAAAACAAAGAAATTAAGGGATGAAAAACCTTGTCGCCGAGAAAAGGGATTTTGTCGGCTTGTTCAGCGCGAATAGCGGAATGTTGAAGCATGATATCGTCGTCCCTGAAATTCTCCCAATCACCAGCAGCAGCAGCAGCAGGATTGGAGTTGCTTTCTTCCTGTTGTTTCGCCATAGATTTCGATTTCAAGCTCTTCTCCTTGATTTCTTCGAACAATTCTAAGCTTCCTTCTATCGACTGAGTTTTCTGTGTTCTTTTTAATCGTCCACTGATACTAGCCTACTACAGTATTTGTATCAATTTTATGTTGCAACGGATTTTATCGTTGAATTTACATGTGTCTAGTTGTCTACAGCCCATTAGGCTTTTACGGCTTTACTTAGAATTTAATTGTCTTTTGCGGCTCTCCTTACACACCAAGTAAAGTATACAATTACTCATATTGAGTATTACACTTTGGACACATATAATCAATATGCCTGATTGAAATACATATGTTATTATTATATACAACGTAGTCTTTTGTGAAATATATTTATTACACGTAATCTAAATGCAGTTACCTCTTTGATGTAATGTGGTCTTTTGTAAAATGTAGTGGGAACAAGGTTACTCATGTATCAACAAGAGTTTGCTCAAATGATAAGCAGCTTGATATCGCTTAAGGGAGGTTTTGAATTCGAGCATCACCAAATGCAGAAAATTCTTGTTGAGAGACCCACCCACCATAAGTCAGGTGTGCAATCCCAATCAGATCCGGATATAGTCTGAACCATAAGTCAGGTGTGCAATCCCAATCCCAATCAACCATATATATATTGCTCATGAAGTAACTCGTATCCAACCTTGGGATATTAGAAACTCATAGGCCGGTGAAACATGATGGAGGTAGCTTCAAAAGATATAATAATATATCCCTTTGCTAATTGAAGCACCTAAAATATCATATGCTAATTAATTATCGAGGGTGTGTCAAATTATTACTCCGATAATATATAATGTAAAGATATATGGAGAAATGGAATTATATTGCAACATAGGGAGTGATTTTTTTTCTTCCTTTAAATCACTTTTAGATTATAGATGATTAGTTATAATAAATCTCTATTAATCGACATATTTTGACCTATATTTTTGAGTTTGTTCTCTCCTTTCTAGAAAGGGTTTGTAATTTATTGTAATCTAGTTGGTTCGTTGATGAAAATTTATGAAATATCATGTTGCTGTTACGTTAGGCCAAATTGCTGCTGAAAAATAATTTGTTGATGACTAAATCACTTGATCGCAACGTTTAGAGACAAAAGTGAGGAATCATCGAATATGCAAGATTGCAAGCACATCTTGGCAGCAATTGCATGAAAAAATGGAATCAAAATTTTCAAATTAAAAGTCTTTTCATAAATTTACCCTCGGAAGGGTATAATGACAAGAATGCCAAGATACAAAGTTAAAAATAGGAAAATCAGTAAAAGGAGTTCAGCCCAGGAAACCTTCTCCCAGCTGCTGTAGAGCTCTCTTCTATCTTCACCACTTATATACACCTAGAGAGTATATATTTACGAATACAGTGTATTTATAAGACTCAACACCAATCAAAATTTCGAAGCTCCAGTTGTTGCTCCATTTACTAACTCTCCTCATAATTACATGCACCGAGAGTAAATTCTCTCAACGCGTATGGTTAGATTTATCTTATTATTGTTGATATTAATCGTGCAAAGACTGCATGACCAGTGCCTCACCTCACCCCTTTGGTCTATTTATCCACATCCTTTTCTTTAATTCTCCCTCTTCATCCTCTCCATTTCCTCCGTAAAACACTTTTGACTTTTAAGTTTAGTTCACTGCTCAATCTGATTCCTTTCCCGAGCTTGAAGATGATTCTCCACAAGAATATTCTTCCTTGCTAACAACATTAGGTGGGCTCTCTAGTTGATTTTCCTCATTATTGTAGGATCTTGATTTACCAGGTCTAGATCTAATGTTAACACCCATGGGAAACGGCACCTGTAATTTTTTTTAAAAAAAAACCAGGAATCAGAGAGACGATGCAGGGTTACAGAATCACCCACCCGTCACAAATAAAATATACCACGCATCACCAACAGGATCAACATCAATATTAAATTATTAACCCAATGCAGTTGAAGAGGCTTTGTAAAATGGGACAACATTACCGCAACTATAATTGTATATACAATGATAATATGTGTGATAGGAAAAAAAAAATTTAGGGAGAAAGAGAAAGAGGAGCAAAATAAGTCAAGAGTTGGTAAAATATTTGCTCGATGATAGCTTGGCGATGCTCATACCTGATCACCAGCATTGGTGCCATCGCTGTGGAAAAGAATAGGTCTGCATCGCTTGTCCTCATTCATTAAGCTAGAATTCTGAAAATGAGCAACAAGAGCAGCTTTCCCTTGTATGCGAGCGTAAGCAAGTGATGCAACCTTTTCACTGTTGAACTTTTCCCATTTCTTCCCATTTAATGTCTGCCCATTTCAAACTTTCAGGTCAAAATACACTCAGAAGTAAGCAAAAAATGAAAATTTTGAATTAACAAGCCACAAGTTAAAAGTTGAAAAGAAAACAAACCTCATAGCATGAGATGATATGGCTAGGATCAATCATGTTGATAAAGGCATAACCCACATTGCACTTGTTCTGCATAACATGAGGATAGGTGTTAAAGAAAATACAGTCCACACAGAGAAAACAAAAGGTAATTTTCGTTTAGGTCCTGTCTACACAGCATAGGTAGTCACCAGATAAAAGTAAACTTGCCTTAAAATCAATTGGTAAATAGATGAAGTCGTAAGTTCCACGGTGGCGTTCATCAATGGCAGCCATAAGCATCTTGGATGTATATCTACAAACACGTATAACATGGTAGGGAGCAAATACAATCAAACATGAAAAATGTCAAATTTAAGATACTAAAAAGCAATTCACTAGGATTGATTCAAGTAGTCCATTCCAATTTTATGGGATATATAGCATATATAGATTACTTATATAGTAATTTGATTCAAATAAAAAGGAAATTCTACGTACTTGTTAGGAATATTCTTTATCATAAGAGTGGTTCGATTGTCTCCCCCCCGCCTAATGCGGTCAAGATCAAGTTCATATAGTTTCTTGTTGTCAGCTTGAGCGGAAGAGCCATCACTTCTACGGCTTCTAGCACGTTCAACATGATGTTCAAATGAGCCTGCCATGTTCATCTGGTTCCTGGGGGGATAAATCATGCCTCTTTGATGATGGGAATTCAGAACATTTCTAGAAGAGATTGGTAGATCCAAGCTGTTTCCACCGACATGAGAAAACAAATTATGAGAAACAAAATCCATGTGGTGTAGAGGGCCGCCTGAAAGTCTCATATTCCCTACTGGACCCTGGTGGAAGCCAGATGCTTCAGGCGACCCCCCTGGATAGGAATTTTGCCTATCCCAAAGAGAGTAGTTAACAGCTGGTGCCGATCCCACGTGATGGGGTAGAATTGAGTTCAGCATTTGAGATGGTGATCTAGTGAATCCATGAAGCTGATGTTGGTTTTGAGGACTACAAAACCCATTTGATAGCGAAGGGGAGTTTGGCCACACGAAAGCTGGAGGTTGGTGGTGATTAGTATTACTCCACATGTACTGATGCCCGGGAAGAGATCCGCTCGCATTCCAAGATGTAGAAAAACCTAACAGAATTAAAGGTACAATATAAGGAGTTTAGACATCCATCTGATTGATCTGAACCAAAATAAGTAAATTTCATGCTCTACATGCCAAGATTGACCAAGGGATGTTCACAAAGGAAATACACAAAGCTCAAAACACACATACCGTTACACATTTCGACATTTGAGCTTATTCGGCCCAAGTGATTATTCTCAACCCTTTCCTGTGGCAGGGAACTAACTGTAGCAGGCACGTAACCGTCAGAATTGCAAGAAGCACCATTAGCTAAACCATCACTATACTTCGGAGTTGAGCAAGGATAAAGAGTTGGCAGGCCTCGAAAATCATAATTTACTTGGCTGGCTAAATTTCCAGACTCAGAGAGCCCAGCTTGATAGCTTCCTGATTCAGCTCTGAGAAGGGATGGTAAGCCATTGGGGACACTAGAAGAGATTTCATGACAGGCAGAATTATCTACGAATGAACCCAGAGTTGCCTGTATGCCAGCACTTGTACCACAACTAGTATCGCTTTCCATGCTAATAGAGCTGATGGAGCCAATTGAAATCCCTGAAAATAATGTTTCTAACATTTAATAAAAGAGTATCACCCCTTCACATGTAATCAACACTGAACAAGTAAGAAAACTTCCTTACCAGCACTACTTTGCTGTCCACGAAGACTGGATTCCTCTTGCTCCATATCTGGGGGCAGTGGTTGCATTAAACTGCATGAAGTGGAATAATAATCAAAAGAAAATAAAAGCTGAGGGAGAGAGAGAGAGAGAGAGAGATATTGGCAACGTGCTACTGAAACGTAGGTTTCAGATAATTTGTATTATACTTAGTATTTAGTAACATGAATTTTTGCTTCAGCAAAATTGTGGAATTATACTCAGACTCTGCAGAGAAATCTTTAAAACTTAATACCTTCGTCTTGCATTTCCAGGACGACTTGGCTCAACCTTTATCTTCTTACCAGCAATATCACTTTGGTTCAATGCACAGAGAGCTTCATCAGCGGCTCTGACATCATAAAATTCTACAAACTTTTGGTTACTTCTGTGTAGGATTTCCCGTATCTGTGGTACATAAATGAATTGGTTATGCCCATTTATAAGTGGTACATGTGCACTGAAGAACATCAGACACAAAAAGTGTTAGCATGTGCAAAGAATATCTGACATGCTTACCTCCTTAACCTCTCCATAAGTACCAAAAATCTGACGAATATCATCGGTTGTAACAGAAGCATCAAGGTTAGATACCACAAGAGTTCCTTGGTTTACATCCTTATCTGAAGGATTGTCCTAAACAAATCAATCATGGGGAGGAGGAGCATGAGTGTATTCCACTTTCGTAACTCTACTGAAGCCAAGTCAAATGCATGAAAAGCTGAAAGTAAATAATTATTACCTTTGGGATTGAGTAATGTATATCAAGCCTCCTTCGTCTCAAAGGCTTATTTTGAAGTGCCTTCATTGCATTCCTTGCTGCTCTAATGTCAAAGTATGAAATCATTACAAAACCCCTATGTTTGCAAGCTGTATACAGGGTGCGGATATCTCCATATTGCTGCAAGTTTAGGACAAACAATTAGATTAAAAATCCTCTGTCAAATTTCACAGCTGCAAAATCGAGACAAGAACATAATTAATTTGACTACATTCCAATCATCACGGGTGATAAATAAAAAAATTCCTACACTTACCTCAAAGAGAGCCTGCAACTCGGAATCCTCAACATTGCTATTTATGTTTCTCACAAACAAAGTGCGGTACGGATGTTCTCCATAAGGATGTTCCCCATTAAAAGAGATACTAGTTCCAGTAAGTTGTCCATTAAAGCTGCAAGGAAATTCAGAATTCCTTTGTACTGCAGATGATGTATCATCTCCTAAATCCATCCCTCCAACACTACTAAAAAGGTCCAAATCTTCTATGCTATCCTCTCCCCTTAGTTGAATATTACTTTCAATCCCATCAACAACAACTCCAGAGAGCAAATCATCATCATCAGGAAGCAAATTTCCTATGGTCTGGGCCTCAATTTCCTCAAGGGACTGAAAAGGTTCTTCCTCCTCATAGTGCGAGGCAACAGTATCACCAGAGTGACCATGGAAGTCGTCATTTGAAGATAGTTGCACTATAAAAATGAATTAAGAAACATTGAGAACAGATTAGTCATTCAGCACAGAGGAGCATGAGGATTCAACATATAACAGTGTCATGGGAATTTGAGCTAACATAAGATAATCAAAATGAAATCACTGTGTGGGAGAATCACATAGCAGAAAAGTTAAGTTTTAGCATCTTCTCATGTAACAAAAAAAAAAGACACTTACACTTTCGGGTAAACAACTCAGACATTGAACTTGAAAATAGCCCATTTTCATAGTGAGATATTGTTTTATTCTTCTCCCATGACTGTTGTGCATTAGGATTTGATCTAGCGACAGGACTAAGGTCCATAGAACTCCACAAATTCAAGGACCGACTAAGAGCTCTCTCTGCTCCCACTGCATGTCTTTGCAAACTAAAGCTGACGGTCTTTTCAAGATTTTCAGGACCATTGGTTGCTAGAGAATCCACATGTACTAGTTTCTCTAAAGGTGATCCAGCAACAGGAATCCCGCATGAAGTGCCAGCAATTGCATCTGTCTTCATACCTGCAAAATTGATAGTGAAAAAAACATCATTTCTCCAACAATAATTTCAGGTTTCTTAAGTACATGCAGAGAAGAATGAAATTAAACCACGCTAATAATAAAAAGGAGGGTTCATATAGTGACAAGCAATCACATCCTACTTTGCTGGCCGAATGCATGGGTTTACAGCATGTTTAGCATAGTGTTTATGTGGTGGAAATGGAATCAAATATGAGTTTCCACTACTTAAATCTGTTTGGATAGCACAATAAGAGGGAAAGGGTAGGCCGGGAGGTAGAGTCCATTTTCCTTCAATATCCTCCCATTTTAGAGGAATGATGTTTATTAAAAATGGAGGTTTCCCTCCCCTAATGCCTTATCCAAACACGGGTCTCATCCAAACAAAGTGTTAATGCTTGTTGTCATAGATGAGGTAGCACAATCCATTTCCCGAAGGTAACAAATGGAGGTTTCCCTCCCCTAATGCCTTATCCAAACACAGGTCTCATCCAAACAAAGTGTTAATGCTTGTTGTCATAGATGAGGTAGCACAATCCATTTCCCGAAGGTAACAAATGGAGGTTTCCCTCCCCTAATGCCTTATCCAAACACGGGTCTCATCCAAACAAAGTGTTAATGCTTGTTGTCATAGATGAGGTAGCACAATCCATTTCCCGAAGGTAACCTTTACCACTTTTCATAACCTTTCTCCAACTCCCAATGGTAACAAAAATGTTTCCCTCCTTATTCCCGAATTTTTAATACTAGGAATCCATTTCTCCTTATGTCTACCACAACAAATAATGGTAACACTTACATTATCCTTTTCTTTGTAAATAAATAAATAGCATACCCTTTCTCCTTCTTATATTCATACCAAACATGCACTTACAAAATAATCTTGAACTTATGCATACATAGCACATCCAGACATTGTTTGATTTACAAATTCCATTAAAAATTATCCTTTCATTACCAATGATATGTTTCACTTTGTTTGTACCTTAAAACTCCAACTATATGTATTTTTGGTTATAATCTAGTTTCCTTATCAATATTGTTTGGTTCATTGAAAGAAAATCCAAGGAAAAAAATGAGCAACACATTCAAGGTATGGGATGGCAGACTGAATCCTGAATTATCACCATCAATTTCCCAATTCCAGTAAAAAAAAAAAAATGAATGACTACTCCAATAAAGCATGACAAAATTCGCTATGTACATTAACAATTGAACATAATTGTCGCTACATCTCTGCATACTATGCAATGACCATTAAAGGACCAAATCTGCCTACATAATTGATCAAAAGGTAAAACGCAAAGAAAGCTGCTGATGAAAAAGGTAAGAAGATCAAACAAGGCCTTAATTCATAATTCGCATGTAATTATTACCTTCAATAACAACTTTCCATACGAAGTTTCAGATAAAATTTAATGAGTATTACGCTACAAAAAATTGTTCAAGCAATTCTAAGCAATCCCTCCAAAACCATTCAAAAAATTAAAAATTACTATAATCCCATCAAAACCTTCAATAACTACCTTAATCTAATGATCTCCACAACAATATTAAATACCCAGCTTTGCAAATTTAATAAAAGTTAATATTTTAAAGATTCATACTACTCAATATCTCGTGCATTTGTACATGTACATTCTAGTATATCTTTATATTAAAGAACTTGGTATTAAAAAAAAAAAAAATAAGAATTACCGAAGTTATTGATGTTCCAGAATGGAGATTGTCTGTCGGCAGGAAATTGAAGATCCCCAGAGAAGTAAGGTGATGCAGACAAACCCAGCTGATCCATCATTTTTTTTTTTGCTTTTCTAGTTTTTGATAAAAAAACCAACAAACCCAATAATCCAATTCAATTTAATCACAACTTCCAATATTGAATTTCGGGAATAGAGAGAACCCAGAAAGATTAGAGAAAAAGAAAGAAAGAAATGTATGAATAAATATTATAAATAAAAAGAATAAATTACGGCAAAAGAAAAGGAAAATGGGTTGAGAATTGCAGGAGGGGTGGAGGGATCTAGGAATCTGTGCCGTGCAACAACATCCAAAGGCTTTTGATGCTTAACTCTCTCTCTCCTCCTTCGTCTCTTTGTTTCCCTGCATTGCACGTTAACCTTCTTCCCTTCCTCCCCTACCTGCTTTTCTTTTCTTATTTTATCTTATTTACGAAATGTTTATTAATTCGAACAAACTTCTTTGACTTCGCGCCAAAGGATATGCCCTCGCTCGCTCGCCTGCCTCCGCCGAGAGACGGGGGAGGGAGAGGGGGAAGAGGGGGGGGAGGAGGTAGAGGAACCAAAGATTGCTTTTTCCAACTAAAATTATTATTAACTAAAATAATTTGGGGAAAATGGATATCAATTTTTATTTATATATTGCGCGAAATCATCGTTTGGATCATGGAACACAGAAATCATGTAAGAGAGAGAATCCCCCTCCAAAATTAAGTACTTTTTTTTTAAATAAAAAACTTCTCTAAAAACAACAAGGTATGGAGAAAGAAGAGGACACAAGATGTGTTGGTCAATTTTTTTTCTTCTTTCTTCTCTTGTACTTTTATATATTGGTCTAGACCGAAAAAATGGACCGGATTGGACCAAATTTGTCGGTCCGGTCTCCAGGTCAAGATGTCTATTTTTCGGTTTGGTCCGGTTCAAAACCTTATAAAAACCGGTTTTGGACCAAATCAATTATTTTGTTTAAAATTATACATAACAAGCTTGGAAAACTTTAGTTGCATGAGCTTTTTTGTACTTAAACATACAAAAAAAGACGTTAAAATATTGTTTTTCCTTTTTTCCGAGTTTTCCATAAATTATTTGAAATTTAGAAATTTTTTATAAAAATTCTAAAATCGGCCTAAACCGGTCATGTGGATGACGATGGAAGCGAGGTGGGAGGTATTTGCGTGAACCGGCTTTTGAAGAATTACGAATACCGAACATGTGTCATTGTGTGTCAATGTGTAGAGGCATTAGTCATTAGTTATTTCACTTAACAACAAAATACTAATAAATCGCTAATTGAGAATTAGCGGTTTACTATATAATTTTTATATAATATATATATATATATATATATATATATATATATATATATATATATATATATATATTACATGCTGAGTTGGACGGTATGAGGGGGATTTTTTTGTAAAAGGGGTGTAATTTGGGTATTTTTACATCTTTGAGCATTTTTTTATGGAAATCACCCTATAATATTTAATTGAGGCAATACTTCTTTCGTTTCATAATAATCGCAACACTTTGACAGATACATATGCGATGCACAACTTTGACTAGTAATATTTGTAAGGAAATTTTGTCAACAAATACCAATTTAAGTCTCCGTTTCGAAAACAACTATCTTTTAATTTTTTTTTTTATAAAACAACTACCACAAAAATGTAAAAAGTTAGAGTAGCACTACCACATGTAAAATTCCGGCAAGAATCTCCGGCAAGTGGGTCCCACTTTCTACATTTCCCTCCAATTTTTTTTCTCTCTCCTCTGTATATAACTACAAATGTTCGAGCGTTAATTGAACAAAATTTCCAAAAAAAATTCTCAAATTTTCTTCCTTTTTTCACCAATTGAGCAAGAGGAATAATTTCTTGAAAGCTACCTCAGGTAATTTGAGAATCTTATATGCTAATTTGGATTCGAAATTGGGGAAGATTGGGGAAATTAGGGTTTCGCAATTTTTTGTTTTTTGGGTAAATTGAATGGATTTATTCACATTAGGGTTTATTAATTGGTTGTTATCCATGTATTTGCAGGAATTTGCGAATTGAATCATGTCCAATTCATCCTATGAATCAGCTCGTCCTTTTCCTGGTAAGTGCTATTGTGGAATCCTCCCCCCCCCCCCTCAAAGTCGAGACTTCTTGAACCAGCACCAGTCCCGGAAGAAGGTTTGTTGCTTGTAAGTTTTACGATGCCTATACTGGTAGGCATAGATGCAAGTTTTTTGAATGGATTTATGTAGAGATTGTGGAATGGCAAAGGGTGATTACCAACCAGCTAATGTTGGAGAAGAAGTTGATGAAGACAGAATTTGCTAATTTGAAGCAAGAGGTTTGTTTGCTGCAAGATCAAAATGCAAGATTGGTTGAGAAAAATGAAAAATTCAGTAAGAAATTGAAAGGTTCATCCTTGGAGTTGAAGAACTCAAGTTCCCCTACCAAACCAGGCTGCAAGACAGTGGGTTTCTATGTTGTAATTGGGATGATGATTATGTACTTAGCATTTGTTTTTATGTTTTGAGTTGTTGTACTTAGTTAATGCACAATCAGTAAATGCCACTAATTTTGTTATAAATACCGTGGGAGTGGCATACTTCAAATGATATGTGCATGTTTGGTTGTAATTGATGATGATTATGAAATGAAAATGCAATGTTCTATTTTGCAAATAAAAGTTCAATCATATAACACAAATCTGAGAATTGTTTTAGGCCCAAATGACCACAAAAGATCTTAATTGTTTTAGGCAAAATGACACACTTAATTACATCATTGTTTGCAAAATAAGCAAAAACTTTCTCGGTACTATCACTGTTGTATAAAACTACAGAACTTAATACTAACAGACGCCAACTAACTAAACTAAGCCTAAACTATCAAGGCTTCCAAACTCCTTGCTTTTTCTTAGTTGACTTAACAGGTAGCTTAGATTTGGGTGGCTATTTTGAAGGCTGCTTTGGTTTGGCAGCTTGTTTAGCCTTTCCTGTTGCTGAAGCCTGGGAGGAAGGTTGTGCTTGATGAAGAGTGACATTGGAAGACCCTGCCTGACTGCATTGGGGATCCATGGTTTGAGTCCCTACAGCTGGTACATCCTGCATCAACAAAGGAATACATAAACAACAAATTAATAACCAAAAATAATTGTGAAAATCAATTATACCACAAGTACTTAAACCTGTCTCAAAACCCTTTCCATTTTATTCTTCCTTCTCGAGACAGTCCAAGCGTTTGTTGAAACTGGTCTTCCACCTTTGTCTAGTGATGGAGGGGTAGGAGGATTTTTGCATTTGTTTTTGTAATGCGCAGCAACTCCACAATTTGAGCATTTGTTCTGTCTTTTTGGGCTCTTGATGAAACTTGACTCTTCCTCCTCTCCTGGCTCTTTCCTTCTCATTTTCAAGGAGGGTCTCCCTAGCATCTTCTTCATTAAAGTTGGTAAGGGTTGAACCATGTTGGATTTCTCCCACTGCTTCATTCCTGGAATAGGTTTGATTGTTGGGGTATAAGCTTCCAAGTATGTTTGCTTTGTGTAGCATTCATGGACATAATCTTTAGGCTTGAGTCTTTTTTTCACAATACATGCCCATGCATGAGGACATGGAATACCAGTCAACTCCTAGTGAAAGCATGTGCATGTATTATCATTTAGGTTGACTACCAACCTATCACAGTCAAAATCCACCTCCCACACATCAAACCTAGATGGCACAACAGTACACTTAGCTGCATATGATGCAATCCATTTGAACACCTTATTCACATAAGGCATAAACCTCCCCTCATGAGCTTGAACTGCCTCCCACTTCTCTGTGTTCCTTCTCATAACATACCTTCTGATCCATTCAAGGTATGTTATGACAGGCTTATCTCTAGCATCTATGATCACAGCATTAAAGGTCTCACAGAGGTTATTGAGCAGCATGTTTGACTTAGAGAAAGTGCTGAAAGCATGCCTTGCCGCTGTGGTGGGATAACATCTAGGTAGTTGAATGCATCTTGATCTAAGAGCCTTATGCATTCTAGTTGAGCATCAAAATCAGCCTAATCCAAACAAGTACAAAGGTAAACAATATCATCATCACACACACACAATACTGTATATGGACATAGCCAATTCTAGGAAAAGCTCAACATCAAATCAGTACCTTATTTGTAGACCTTGCTGCCTTCCAAAACAGCTCTTTGAAAGTATCACCATGGAATCTAAGCTTGAAATTAGCCCAAATGTGTCTGGCACAAAACCTTACTTCTGCTTTTGAAGCCACCACTGCAATAGCTTCAATCAGGCCCTGTATGTATTTGCATTCACATGTCAAAGTTACATTTACTGTTATGACAAACCAAAAACCAAAAAACATCACTAATCTTACCTTTTGCCTGTCTGACATTAGTGTTAGTCCATGGCTATGTTCAAATCCTGTGTCCTTCAATAGCAAATCTAAAAACCAAGTCCAGCTGTCCTTCACTACTAGAAATAGGTTGATTTACGACGGACTATTTCCGACGGACACTTAATTCCGTCGGAAACGTTCGAAGTTCCAACGGATTTTTATTCCGTCGGAAATTTTCGACGAAATAAAAATCCGTTGGAATATAAAGGTTTCTGACGGAATATTCCCTCGGAAAATAACTTCCGGCAGAATTATAATCCGTCGGAAAAATTCCGACGGAATATTCCCTCGAAAAATTACATTTACGGTAGAATTAAAATCCGCCTGAAAATTACCGAGGGAATATTCCGTCGGAATGGTAATATTTCCGACGGATTTAAAATTACCGAGGGAACTTCCGTCGGAATGAAGGTAATTATTTTTTTTTTAAAAAAAAAAAAACCCTTCAAACCCTTAAAAAAAAGAATCCGCCCCCTTCCCCTTCATTTCTTCCATTTCTCTTTCTCTCTCCTCCTTCTCCTCCTCCTCTGTCCCTCGTCTTCTTCCTCATATCTTCTCCTTCTCCCTCATTCTTCTCCTCTCTCGTTCTCGTTCTCCTTCTCCCTCACTTCTCCTCCCTTATCTTCTCCTCCCTGTCGTTCTTCTCTTCTCCCCTTCTACACCATCAACGAACAACAACAGGGACCTCAACGAACAGCAACAACAACCAACAACAGCCGCCAACACCAACAACAGCCGCCAACACCAACAATAGCAACGTCAACGAACACCAACAACAACAGAAACGAACAGCAACAGAAACGCCGCCAACATAAACGGTTTTTTATATATTTTAGATTGTAGATCTAGCCTTTTTTCCTTTTTAATTCCGATTTTAGTTAATTATTGATGTCATTGTAATGTTAATGTATAATTTTTGTTAAATTTATGTACATTTATATATTTCTTTGAATTGATTTGGTTAATTTTTGTTGATTTTTTATGATAATTTTCGATTTTTTTTAGGAATTGATTTGTGTGTTGGTTAATTTTTTGGGAATTAATTGTTTCCGATTTTTTTTTCTTTGAATTGATTTGGTTAATTTTCGATTTTTTTTGGGTGTTGGTGGTGTTTCGGTGACAAGGGTTGGGATTTGGTGGGGTACGGTGGTGGGCTAGTGGGTTTGGGTGTGGGTTGGTGGTGGTCTGTGAAAGTGGGATAGGTGGTGGTGTTCGGTGGTGGGCTAGTGGGTTTGGGTGTGGGTTGGTTGGTGGTGGCGGTGGGTGGATGAGTAAGGGTAGGTGGGTGGATGAGGGTGCTTGGTGTGTTGTTTTTTATTTTTATTTTTATTTCTGGGTGGGGGGGGTTCTGGGTAACGGTGGTGGTTTACGAGGGGTGGTCTGGTCTGGGTGG